TAGTAGCTAGTCTTAAATTAGTTTACAAATAGAAAATTAAGAGGTGATTTGCTACACTTAGGTGGTTATACAAGATATAATAGATAGTTCAAAATTAATATCATCTTAATACAAATCTGTAACTAATCTCATCATGTATACAGCAAATTTAAAAAAAAAATAATAATAATAATAATAATAATAATAATTTTTTTCTTATACTGAGTATTATATCTAACAGATACAAATAGAAATTTCCAATATAATATTATACAAAGTTATAAAAGCTTAAGAGTAGAGTATATATAAATTATTTTTCATAGTAATTATATTAAATTTTATATAATTTATATATTGTTATAGACAAAAATATAACCTCAAAACTATTACTAATTAATATAAAATAATGCACATTTAATTTACAAAATGTTATACAAAAGACTATTGTATTGCAATATGTCAGAAATTACAAATACTAACTAATAATTATCTTCAAAAAATCTGTTCCAGCCAGGCTCTCTAAATAAAAGCATTAAGATCAATCTTGTAATAGCCAAGCTCTCATTAAATGATTTTATTAAGAAAAAAGATACTATTCAATTCAGTATGATAACTGTCAAAGTAATATTACTTTGTTAAATAAAGTGTAAATATGTTAATGAATAAATTAATAGTATTATGAGTAAAGAACAATGCCAGTATAGAAGTATTTATTTGACTTGTCTTATTTTTCATTTTGCTAAACATTTCAAAGAGAAAAGAGTAGAGAATTTTATTATAATAAGTTGTACAGCTAAAGTTCATTGGCAGTATAATAAAAAAAAGATATGAATTATTTAGAATTTTTGAATTTGTTCTCTTCTTGATCTATAAATTTGTTATAAATATGAGGTTGAATTCCTTTTGTAAAAGCAGATAATCTTTGTGTAATTTGCTCCTACATAATAAATAAAAAATTCTTTGAGTAAATAAACTACAATATTCTTTAAGTTTATTAAATCACCCTAGTTGTAAAATATTCAACTATAGCCTTAGACCTTGTCAAGGTGATTTCACCTCTAACCCATTGAGTAAATCCTGACTGATGCTTTTTTTTGGTGTATAGATTGTTCAATTGGTCCACAACAATATAAATATCATATGATTTGACTAATCAGAACTTGTAATTTTTGTGTAATCCCAAAAAATATATAGTAAACCAGGAAACTTAGATTATATACAAAGTTCATTTTTTTTAAAACAATATATATCTTACAACTTTACTATTATAAACAAACTAGTTTAAACTACATATCATATAGGGGTGTAGCGAAGTAGTGTAGTTAGGAAGTTGGCTATCCTATACAGAAGTGGGTTGCCACCCAGAATAACTCCTTTATAAACACATTTTGAAACAAATTTACTATGTGCTAAACTGTGTAATTTATGGAAGGGCAACTATATCTTGAACATAATTGAGTATTAAATAATTAATTGTTATCTCTTATCTAAAAAAGGTTAAAACTAAGAATAAATAACTAACTAACTAACAGTCAAGAATTTTGTTATAGTATTTATTTATTTTTTAGCAGATTTAATATTTTTATAATCTTGTTCTCCCTAGATATAGCACTATAAAAGCTTAGTATCTCAAATTTCGATCTCAATTTGATAAAGAATGCAATTATTATTGACCAATCAGATGACAAATGACTTTCTTAAAACACAAAAACAAGAATTTGAAAATCTGTTCACTATCATTACAACCTCTATCTTCTATAATTAAAATATTACATCTCTAAGGAAAACAATGCTATTTGAGTTAACCGGCCATAAACCCACTCTTAAAGTATTGAAACTACTAGCCTATAAACAACCAACTTATTATCCCTAACCAAACTATAATGTCTAAGCAACAAGTTGTCGGAAAGAGTAGAGGTTGGGACCGGTTTTTAATAATTCGAGTTTGTCACATCAATTTTAGGATATTCTAGAATTTATCAAAATTTATCAAAATTTAATTGATAAATTGATGTGATAAACTCGAATTATTAAAACCGGTTCAAACCTCTAGAGGAGAGATCCATGTAACTTCAAAGAGAATTGATTATGTAGTCATTCGTGAAGCCCAAACCCATCTTACGAAGGTCTTTGCATTGTCACTATTTCTGTGGTGCCTAATTACATTAAACGAGGTCCTTGCACCGCTACTGCAACCGTGAAGACTAACTACCACCAAGCGAGGTCCTTACACTGCTACTTCAGCAACGGAACTTGACATTGCTTACCAATACCATTTAACCTATTACACCAAATGCCAATCATTACATTAACTGCCAAGTCACCAAAATGATCGATAGTAAAGAGACAAATAATTTCTCACTAATGAACAACTTTTAAATACATTGATTATCAAAAACGGCTTTTTTTCGTTTTGCTAACAAGTTCTTCATTACAATGTTTTTTTTAAACTAGAAAAGAACTCAACATTCACAGATGAGATTATCATACGTATTCCCAAATTTAGACACAATTACACGCACAAATCTGGCAACGAAGTTGCATGTGAAAAATCAAATCTGCTTACATTATACTAAGGACTAATTACGTAATGAAAAAAGATCGTTCGCCACTTTTACCCTCATAAAATTAAGAGGCGTAATTCTTAAGTAACATACATAAATAAACTAATTATTTTTATAGTCGTAATGAGATTTAGACATGCATTAACTTAAAAAGTCAAATATATTAAAATTTTTCAAAAACTTTTTATTAATAAAAACAATTAACTTCGCCATTTTACATTCACCTTATATAATCAAGTTCCTATTCACAAATAATTTCAATAATATAAGATTACTTGCAACACTAGTTAAATACAAATGGACCTTTCACAGGAACTCGAAGCCTTATCACTTGCAACCAAAGAAGAAAAGTATGATGAAGTTCTAGACAAGCTGGGGACCTTACAACATGTCGAAAAAGAAGCAAAATTTAGAGAACTTTTAAATAAAATTAAACAATTTCCTACAGGTTCAGGTATTATAAAATCTATTCACGATAACGAAAATTTGACGCAGTACCAAAAAGATGAATATCTCAGCACAGCAATTATGAAACGAATCCATTCATTCGCAATGAGTCATGAACTTACGCACATTTTCTTTGAGTCTACGAATCTTACTAGCAATAATAATCTTGGATCCGGCGTCGATGGCAAACAACTTGAACAAGTTATGTGCGCAAATATCAATGTCGCCAATCGTTTCACCTGTAAGAACATTGGTGATAAACT